GTGAACTAATGTAACAGAAGAGGGAGAAATAAAGATATATGAAGGAAGGATGAAAATACTTTGCTAGGGCTTAAGGAATCTGAGTATTAAGAGTATTTTGGAGCTCATAAACATTAAAGGTAAGCTTCCTATACCTAAATCTTCCTACCTTCTTCCATTTTTCTTGATGATAGAAGCTAGGGTTTTGGTTGATAATTGTAATTTTTGGTCCACATAAGCTCTGTGACTAAACCTATTGACTTAAATAGAGTTAATGAGAGTAAATTAAGCTAATGAAACTTGATATTTATAGGTTTGTCATGATTGGTGGTTGGGGAGCATTTAATATGCAAAATTTCCTATAAATATGTTAGTTGGGGACAATGTTGTTCCATTAATAGATATTAAAGAGCTCAATAATGTTAATGAGAGTTAGAAGAAACATAAGAAAACCCTATGGGTATTTTCATAAGAGAAAATAATGAATCTTGAGAGTAAAGAAGTATTGAGTTAATAGTAAAAATTAGCGCAAATGTGGATATTAATGAATTGTATTGTAAATATTTGTAAAGTGACTATCTTTAGCACCATTCAAGCTTCTTCAAAGCTTTGGAAGTGAGTATTTAAGGGGTAAAACCTTTAACCCCTCAAAAGATTTGAGATAATTAATTTATTGATTGATATTTGATAATTGAATTATATAAGATTGATTAAATTGCAAATGTGGCATGCTTTGTTTGAAAAACCCGCTATGAGGAGGTTATCTAATATAATTCAATGATTTTAAAATTATGGAGTTCGATGATTATGAATGTGTGAGGTATAATGATTATGAAAATATAGAGTTCAATGATTTGTTTTATATGGAGTTCAATTATGTGAATTGTGATAAGGTACAACGATTATGTATTAAAAGAGTTCAATGACTTATGTGTTGTGAAGTACAATGATACACGTTTAATATGAGTACAATAAGATAATTGAGTATGTTTAAGTAATAAATACTTGTATGCGATGAGTTATTGCATACCTATGCATTATATGATCATAAAAAGCGGGAGTTCACTTAGAAGAGGAGTAGAGAATTAAATCCACATGGTAAGGCTCCCATCTGAGTTGATGGCTTGCCTAGATTGTTTATTTACATATTATCCCACTTATTTAATGAGAGATTGTCCCATTGGTTCAACAAAGGGCTCAAACCTAACTAACTATCCACTTGTTTAACAAGGAAGCTAGTTTAAGGAAAATCTTGGTCGAGTAACCTCATACACATGTTTAGGCTAGAAAAGTCTAAGATCATAAACTATCCCAATATGTTATAGCTCATAGTTTTATGTCAGAGGAATAAAAAGGATATAAGGAAAGTGTGATCATGTATATAGTGATAAAGGGCACATGATTGTCTGTATTATGACCCTAATGATGAAAATTATGAATTAATCCTTAATTCTTTGTGAGTATATGTCAATTAATCATGTGACATTCTCTACCTATATGAAAGCTGTCAAAAAGCATTATTTCATGAGTATGTGCTATTATGCCTGGAAATGTAGACTTATGCCTTTAAACATGTTATATGATTTGAAATTGATTATACTTGTCACTTGTATTTAAATTAACTAACATGCATTAGTATGAGTTAGTTGGACCTTGGTTACTAAGTGGTTGTACTCGCCACATCATCTTCAATATTACAGGAAACAGCTCAAGAGGATTGGATAGAGAAAAACAACCAAAGACATAAGACTGCAATTTTATTAGTAAGCCTCTTTATTTTAAGTATTTATGTGTAAATGATGATTGAAATTGCTAGCTAGAAATTATCCATTTTGCATCTTACTTGCATTATGTGTTTTATAAGTTATAAGTGTATCTTGAGCCTTAAGATGTGTGTATATGTTTTATGTCATCTATAGTAGGGTCAAAATACTAGTACAAGTAAGAATTAAGCATAACATGTGATGTTTATGAATTATTTGATGAAATAGGTTATTTGAACTCGCCTTCTATTTTTGAAAATTAAGAGGTTAAGTATTAAAAATGTGATTTATAAGTATTATGTGTAAGGTAGTGTGTTGCACGGTTTCATTTTAGTCTATAGTATGTAGTTGAAATGGTATCTCTGGGTTCTAGCTTATGAAATGAGGTTGACACATTATTTTGTAAAAAATATTGTAAAAGTGTAAGTTTTAAAAAAAGTGTCTAAAGTTTGAATAAGTAATAATTTAAGCATATAACCCAAGCCATTAGCTAGAGCTTGGAAACAGCTTTCCGTAGATACTTAGTTCATGTCAATTGAACGTCAGATGGAGGAATAGGGTGTATCATAAGTTACCCCAAAAGCTGTCAACTTGAAAGCAGAAATTTGCTATCATGAAACATGCAATGCGCTGTGGCTCATTGTGTAACGAGCCGCAGTGTATAATACAGAGGCGAACAAGCCATAGTGCATGTTTAACAAGTCACAATGCACGCCTTAAATTTTACAAAATGTCTTTGTTTTCTAATTCTTTAGCAAATGCACTAATTTTTAAAATGATCCCTTGCTTCTAAATAGTTATTAACTCTGATTTGCCAATTATGACACCTTTCGAAATGATTTTAGTTTTGAAAACCTGAAATCCTATCTTTTCAACCTATTTGCAAACTTAGTAAATATGTCTTTTTCTCTTGAGCTTATCCCTTAATTAGGTAGTTTTAGAGTTAATTATGGTTTTGAAAAAAAGGATATTACAAAGGGCCAGCCTGTTTAAGCCTGCATAATATTTTTCATGTGCCTTTAATTTTGTGGACTATAAAGTGTGGACCTCGCTTGGACAAAAGTATTTTATAAGTTAGAGCTTATATATTAAAGAAAAGAAGGGAGAAAGAAAAAAGGCTAACCTTAGTAATTCTAATTCATTTGGTCAGATTCAATCATGATTTACATACAGTCACACACGCTGCTCCTGCTCGGCTCACACACTCACGCCTCATACCCTCACACAAACACTATTGCTGTTGTCTTTATCTTGTCGATTTTTTCAGTCTTCTCCTTCACCGCTTCATAGCTTCAGGCTCATGTCATAATGCCTTCAACTATCACCCTTCAGAGTTCAGTAATTAGATTTAAGTTTGACTCAACTCACAGAGTCACAGTCATAGTCACTAACTATCTCTGCCTCTACCTCATATCACCGACACTCAATTTGACTGCCTCTGCTAGTTATGAGTCTATCACGCTAGCGCTATTTGAAGCTCTCAAGTCTCTGAGCTCACTTGTACTCTTCAAAGAACAACCAAATCTAACTGAGTCTGCTTAGTACTCGATGTTCGTACTCTTCTACCTTCATTCATCTATTGAATCACAATTACTTGATACTTGACTTGTTAAGCTTATTGTTACGTGCTTATGATGTTTAGTTTGTTTACTTATTTCTTATTATTGTTTAGCCTATATGATTTGACAGTGGAGTAAGATCTTATGTTGTAGTTGATTGAATGAACCAATTTCAATTTAAAAAAAATTAAAAAAAAAAGTAAAAAGGCTCAAAGCCTGCAGGGCCAGCCCTCTGCCTATTATGCTTAAGGTCCAGCTTTAATATTGAGCCCCTCAAAGGGAACTTGGGCTTAAACAGGCTAGCTTTTTTAGGTCTAAGCCTGTCAAGGACTGGCCCTTTAGGGCCAAGCCAACCCATTTTTCCAGCTCTAGACGCGTACATTTATGGATAAATTATAGTTTTGCTCCAGTTTTGTCCTTATAGTTCCCTATGTCATAGATTGTGGATTGAGCAATCAATATTTTTTTAAAGGATCTTTTGTGGGATCTTGATGTTCACTTTTTTTCCTAAAGCTTTTCTATTCTTTTAATTTAATTAAACCCTTTCCTTGTTGTGTGTAGTCGTAAGGTTAAGGGTTCCCTATTGACTATTGTGATTGTATGATATGTTATAGTGATGTCGAGACGAACATTAAACCAAATGCGATAGAAAACGCCCAATCAAATAAACAAAAAATAAAAATTAAAAACCAAAGCTAATTCGAAGAAATGGGAGTGACTCCGCCATTGTTAACCTAACTCGAGCTCTGAAATAAAGGTCGAGTATTGTCAGGGTTTAAAGTTTGCTAAATGATCTATGATTGTATGGTTAAAGAATTAGTGGTCATGACAAAGACAGTGACATCAAAGCCATAATCATTTGCCCTCAAAAAAATTTCATTGAGATTGAGGCTTTCCAAAAGAAACGACACAAGGCATCTATAATCGACCCCATCAAGTGGTTCATTGACACGTCAAGCAACCTCAATACTATTGAACATCTAGCAATAGTATGGATTGACCCATGCAAATTATTGAACATCAAGCCTATAGCTTCTTCAACTTCTCAAGCAAGTTAGCAACACTGTCTAATCAACATCGCCAACAACACCAAGCAATCCATGAAGGAGGTTCATGGCAAGTTGTGAGGAGGAGAGAGAGAGAAAGAGAGGAGGTGATGAAAGGTGGACAAGAAGAGAGGGGGGAGGAGAGGATGGAGAAAAGGAGAGGTTGTGCAGTGGTTGGCTAAGAGGAGGAGGGAGGGAGGGAGGGGGGGAGAGAGAGAGAGAGAGAGAGAGAGAAAAGCTGGGTCTATAAAGAGGAGGAGGAGGAAGAAACACATGGATTCAACCAGCATCTAGTTAGTGCCATATACACATTTGTGGCACTAACTTGAGTTTTAACAACCAACTAGCTTTGGATTTAACAATAGAGGGAAAAATTTCGAGGCAAAACAAATAAAAGTTTAGAATATTCAGTATCTCAATAGAAAATGTTCCACAGCAAATTTGCCCAATTAACCATTATCTTATTTATAGCACAATTGTTTTATAGATTTTATATTATATACATTTTATCTTTTAAATTTAACTAATTATCAGTTTTCTGACATTTGATAACGTCATAGTCTTTTTTCTTGCATTCTTTAAGCATAAAATTTGCAACGTGATTATGTAGGTATAGTTTTCCCGTGTTTGCACGCAATTATTGACCTGACTAATTCATAAATCAACCTTTTCCTTCTATCGTCTAGAAGCGCAGCTGGTAATTCATAAATTAATTTAATGAATAGCTACCTAATAACATGGATTAACACTTTACATTTAATTCATAACGTCACATCCTCCGTGTTCGGTGTCAGACACCCCCCAAAAAAAAAAAAAAGCAGTATCCATTTACAAATAGTTAGTTAACAATAATTTAAAAGCCACCTTTTCCTCTCACATCCCCCGTGGCATTTCTCCGGTTCTCCCTTATCATCGAATATGGGTACGCCCTTGAGACCACATGCCTGAATCCTTGACCGACGCCTGAAAAGTGAAAACACAAAACGTAAACTATTTAAACACACATAACGGAGTTGGTGGAGAGAGAGAGTAATTCTTACGGGCGATTTCATGGAGGGAAAAATATTCCAAAACCGAAGAGTTTCATCCCCTGCACCAGTGACTATGGTCTGACCATCGGGGGACGTTGCAAGGTACAGCACTCGCATGCTGTGGCCAGTTAGTGTCGCAACCTAATCAAGGTTCATATGACGTGATTACATTAGATAATTGATTTTTCAAGGTTGATTTGTTTAGTACTCTGAAATTTCTGATTAACTGCCTTACCTTGGCCATTGACGGATATTTCCACACCATAATCTGATTCTGGGAGTAGCCATGAGTACTCACTAGCTCGTTCACATTTTTACTCCAAGCAAGGTTGCACACCTGGCTGCCAGTGTCAACGCAGTTCAAGTGGTGGCCATTTGTTGTGTTCCAGAAGCGAATGCACCTATCAGCCGTTCCACCACCAGACGCAAGGAGGCCAATCTGGTGAGGCGACCATGCGATGGCCTTCACTGCAGCTGTGTGCTCCGTGAGCCTCAATGCCGGCTGCTGCGAGTGTTGATTCCATACCAACAGCTGCTTATACCAAATTACAACATTGTCGTTCATGAATAAAATTAACCTGTACAAACACAACAATTCTTGAAGCTATACCTGGTTATCATTTCCACCAGATGCTAGTTCCCTGTCGTCATGCGACCACTTTAATCCACATACCTGTCAGATTAAGGCATTTCTTTTAATGCTAAGTAGACTAATATCCCAGATTCTATGTCAATGTCCTCACATATTTTACCTCGGACTTGTGCCCGACGAGCCTGCTAACGAAGTCATTCGAGACTCTCATATCATGCTGAAGTATGTTCCTGTCCCGGCTTCCTGATGCTAACATGCGTGAATTCCATGCCAGCACACCGATTCTTGTCTGATGCCCGCCCATTGTTCTGACCCTCTTGCACTGAGTTCCATCCCAAATCTGTCGTACAAGGTAAAAAAATAATCACAATATAACGTAAACCAAACAAACCCATGTAAACAAACTATAGAAGCCACCTGAACTTGACCCAGATTTGTGCCAATGGAAATGTAGGAGCCCTCCCGGGTCCACTGGACAGAACACACGCCATCATGAGGTCCCAAATCACATAGCTTTGTCACCTGAAAACCGCACGAAATGACCAAACGTTCATTCAGACTATTGAATGACTATTGAAACAGGAGTAACACGTGGCAGCTTCTGACTTACTTTGCTGTTGGAAGCACTCCAGAGGTACACGCAAGTGCCCAGTCCCACGGCAAGAACATTTTGTGAGGACCAATCGACTAAATTCAGGTAAAAGTCATCTTGAAGTGACGGGGCATCCAAAACCTGCAATTTTGAATTTGAAATTGTATTTTAGGCTTGAGTAGGTGTCAGTTATATGGAATTGGGAGCCAGGAAAGAAAGAGTTGACCTTATGGGGTGTTTTGGGGACCTTGCGAGGAGGCTTTGGAGGGGTGCAAGACTCGGAAGAGAAAGCAGAATCGTGGCCTAAAACGGAGGGCGAGAAGGGAGAGCTGGGACCGGAATGGTCAGTCTTGAAGCGTAGCATATTCTTGCTGGGACTCATGGGGGAAGCTTGACCTGCAGGGGAAGGAGAACCGAAGTCAGACCCAAAGAGCTCAGTTTTCAGCAACCTGGTATAAGCCTCGTTTGCCCCATCTTTCACTGGGGAAGGCTTATCCACCAGCCCGAAGGTATGGAGCCTGGAAGAAGATCTGCAGGGTATGAATCTATCGCTGCACGAGGAGGAGGATTTGGAAGGCGATGACAGATTGGGATTGGCCCGCAAACAACCCGAAAAGGTGTCCAGCCGTAGCGAGCTTCCCAACATGCCGACTGGAAGATTCAGTCCGGACGATTTCCTGGACGGAGGCAACTCCATTTCTTGGATTTCTTTGAGCGGGCAGGCAGGCAGGCGAAGAGAAAGAAGACGGAAGAGGAGTCAGTCCCGGGAGGCCTTTTTGTTTCTAGTTTAGTGTTGTGTCGGTGAAGACTGAAGAGGAAGACTCCATGTCATCAAAAAAGAAGAGGAAGACTCCCAACGGTCGTATTTTGGGGTTTTCTAAATTGAGGTGATTAGAGGAGCGTCAGGAAAGAGAAAGAGCTTTCATTCTTTATTTCCCATTTCCTATTTAACATCTTTCTAAACCACCGCGTTCCAACGGTCAGTTGCCAAGCCTATATATATATATATATATATATATATCACTGCACCCGCATTTCGTCTTTAGAAATTTATTCAAAATCAGTAAAAAAAATTGCTTCAAAAATGTCTATTATCAACATATTTAAGAATCATATTCTTGTAATCAATTGTAAGTCCGAAATCATGATTTTAAAAAATTTTATCCAAACATTTACAATTTTCCCAAATTTCATCTGCCTTTTAATTTGAAACTCCCTGTGAACACCGTATCTTGTCCGGATATTTTCTTTTAATAATCAAAAAATATAGAAATACAAAAATGAGATTTAATCCTTTTTAGGATTATATTTTCAAAATAAATAAATAATTAATAGGGTTTAATTTTGTTTTAACTTAGATAATCTTTTATTAGTTAGGATCTTATTTCTTTTAGTCCATTCAAAAATAACCAAAAAATATATATAAAAATATAAAATAAAATTTAATCCTTTTTAGGATTATATTTTCAAAAAATAATAATTTAACAAAAAAAGAGGTTAAATCTTGAAAAATATTGAGAATCAACTTTTGAGGATTAAATATTTTTAAATTTGTCTCCTTAAATCTAATGCTTTTATTTGAAATATGTATTTTAAAATTAGATCTTTTCCCTCTCCCTTAATCTGCTTGACAAAAAAAAAAAGGAGCATTATGACAAGTGAAAGAACACGAACACACGAAACACACGTGCAAGTATACTTTCGGCCATGACAAAAGAAGCAGAAATAAGAAAACGCAAGATTAGATAAAAATAAAGGCAGACATGACAGAGGCAGAGAAAGAAAGCAGAATGAGCACACACGGTCAAGCACCAAAAGGCAAAGTCAGAGGTAGCAAAGAAAGACAGCAGCAGGAACACTCACGCAAAAAAAAAGAAGACGAGAGAAGCGCTGGAAAAGGAAAAAGGCTCAGACGCATAGAAGAAGAGCTAGAGACGCAAAACCAGACATGTATGTTACAGAAAACAGAAAAAGTGCAGGCAAACACAAAGGGAGACAGAGCAGCGAGCACACACAAAGACAGTAGCAGAAAAAAAAGCAACATGCAGTCACGCATGCACGGAAAAGATGTGAGAGAAATAGAGTAGAGAAAGAACAGCAGAAAAGGAGAGAAAGAGGAAGTCGAGAGGGAAAGACTGAGAGTATAAAAGGATGTTCATGCTGGACAGAAAGGAGGGGAAGACCGAAGGGGGCTGGAAAAATAGAGCAAGAAGGGACAACAAAAAAACGTAGCAAAACAGAGACAGAGATTAGAAGCTGAAAGAGAGGCTGAGAGAGAAGAACAGAGGCAGAGGAGAGAGTTCAAAAGAGGATGGAGAATGAGAAAGAGACGGAGAGTGAAAGATGAGAAGGAAACCGGGAAGAACAGAGCATGAAGGAAACACCGCATGCACGAGAAAAACAGAGCATCGGGACCAGAAAAAAGGAAGGAAGGAGAGAAACGAAATGCAAAAAAACAGAGAGAAGAGGGCATCTGGAGAGAAAGAGAGAAACGGAGAAGGAGAGAGGAGAAGGAAACTAAGAAACAGAGCTTGAAGGAGAGGGAGAAGAGAGAGACCGAAGGAGGCAAAAAAAACAAACAGACACCAAGAAGAGAGAGACTGAGAAGGAGAAACAGGAACTTGAAAACGAAGCAGAAATCCAGAGCAGGAGATCGAGGAGAAGAGCATGAGGATGGATGGAAGAGAAGAGAAGAAAGCTGGACGTGAAAGCTGAAAACAAAGACAGAGAGAAAGAGGAAACGAGATCAGGAAGGGAAGAGTCTGCTGGACTGGTGAGACGGAGCTGAGACGTGTTACACACAGGTTTATTAGTTTGTTTGTTTAAAAATTTGAAATGCTCAGTTTGATTTCAGTTTATTAATTTCCAAACAAATTCCATATTTAAATACCCGTCCCTCATTTTTTTTAGTTCTTAAGTAAAAATCAACGTAATTGTCTTTTTCTTAAAAAATAAAAAAAGAGAGAGTATGAAAAAGAAGGATAAAGAGATTGCAAATAATAATTTTGTTTGCTATCATAACTATGCTTAATGCAATTTTAGGCATAATCTCATTTCAAATAAAAAAAGAGTTAGTGCAATTATTAGGCAAGGTCTTTAAATATGTGTTTAGCATGAAAGGGCATATTAATATGTGTGGGCATGTTTTTTCATTTCCATTAGTCCTAAAGTCCTTTAATTATCAATAATATTACACTCATATTGTATGACACTTTCTATGATGATCGCATGTACGATTTCAATTATTATGACGAGCCTATTTTATAAAAGGAGGAGGAGAGAAAATTTGATTATTACCCAATTGAAAAAAAACATGAAATAAGTAAAATTGGTTTCTAATCACTTACTTGTCGTGTGAGATTTTAAAAAAAATTTCGCAAACATTTAAAGCAATCTCGTATCATGTAAATCAATAAGATTTCGCAGATATGAGAGCAAAACTTATATTTTAAAATTAACTGTCCTTTTATAATCCAAATTAATAATTTATTTAAGTTCCATGTGAGATTTTAAGGATCTTCATAGGGACTTAAACTAATCACATTATCGTGTGAGATAATAAGTCCTCGCAGATATAGTAATTTTTAACTTTTATAGATAAGTGATTTTTCATATAATATACAATTTAAGAAACTTAATTATCCAAATTAATGTATTTAAATTGTAACCATATTTATCGATTATATCTTCTAGTCATGTGAGATTTTTGAATCTCTATAGACTTATAAGATAATAGTATTATCGTGTGAGTCAATAAGACTCTGCAGATATAACGATTAAGCTTTTTAAAATATATGTATATAAATTATATATTAAATTAATTAAATTAAAGATGTATTTAAATTTAATTCCTTTATCGTGTGAGATTTTAGAATTTTCACATATATTTAGGATAATCATATTACCGTATAAGTCAATAAGACTTTGCAGGTATATTGATTAAAATTCTTCAAAACATGTATTTACATGTTAAAAAATTTATTATTAACACTTAAAAATGTACATAAGAATATAAATAAATAAATTAAATTGCCAAACTCTTTTATCGTGTGAGATTTCAAAATCTCCGTAGATATTTAGAGCAATTGCATTATCGTATGAATCAACAAAGTTCTACAGGTACTGCGATTAAAATTCCCAATCATAAAATATAAAGAAAAATAATTTTAAACCATTTTCATTCTTTATTCCAAAAATTTAAAAATGGAGAAAATAATTAAAATTAAATTACCTTTTGCAATTTAAAACACACATATCAAAATTTCAGAAATTGTTTTATTTGTAAAATGGTGAATTATTTCTAATTAATTTCTCTTCAAAAAATATTTTCGCCAACAAACTTTTAAGCCCGAACTACGTGAACTTTGATCCTCATCACAGGGTACGTAGGCCTCAGAGTCAGATTCTGAGTCAAGTTCGTCCTCCCTCGTAAATAAATAAACATTTCTCACTCAATTATCATCATTTTTATATCAAACACATGAATATAAAAGGGATAATTAAAATAATTTTAAAACCATATTAAAAGAGCACAACAAATTTCAGGTAATCGTTCTAACGAACGGGTGTTGTGGGGTGCCTAACACCTTCCCCACACTCAACCGACTCCCGAACCTATTCTCTGATTACGCAGATCATCCTTATCCTCCATTTAATCAGTTTCTCGAGATTTACCTCAAAATCTTGGTGGCGACTCCTCGTTCGATCCGGTTCCCGCCGTAAAGGCCGGGACCTAAGCTCGCGCGCCGTCCGCGTCACATTTTTCCGGGTGCGACACTCCCTTTGGTATAAACCATTGTTTTTCTCATTTGAAATTCAATTCTTAACATTGTGTATTTTTTTCTCCATTTGATCACTTACAATTAATTTTAAAAAATTATCCAAATATCTTTAATGATTAAAATTAATTTCAAAAAGTAATTAAAATAATTAAAACTCACAGTGACATCATTTCTTCCATCACATGAAAACTCCACCTCTTTCATTTAAATAATTTTTTAATATTTATGATTAAATAAATAATATTTAATAATTACATATTTTAAAAATAAAATAATGAAAAAAGAAGAGAGTTGGCATTTTTGAGTTTGGAAATGCCACCTCTCTTTAATTATTTTTTAAATATTATTATGCATTAATTGAAGATACTAAATAAATAAATTATAATAAAATAATTATTTAATATGATAAAAAAATTTAAATCAACAAAAAAGTATAGAAAATGACATTTTAAAGCTAAGCAAATGTCAGCTCTCTTTTTTTTATTAAATAATATAATATACTATTTAAAATTATTTATTTAACAAATTATGGTAGAATAAAATAATAAATCAATAAGAGGGGAGAGAGGTGGCATTTCCAAGCTCAAGAAACACCAACTCTCTTCTTTTTAATTATTAGATAATAATACATATTAATAATTAACATTAATTAAATAAATTATAATAAAATAATATTTTATCTTATAATAAAATAATAAAATATTAAAAAAGGAAGAGAGGTGGTGTTTCCAAGTTTGGAAATGCTACCTCTCTTCAATTATTTTTTAAATATTATTATACATTAATTATAAATACTAAATAAATTATAATAAAATAATTATTTAATATGATAAAATAAATTTTTAAACAAGTAAGAGAGTATAGAAAATGGCATTTTCAAGCTCAGCAAACATCGCCTTTCTTTTTTTATTTATTAAATAATATAATGTACTCCCTTCATTTAAAAATGTAAGGTATTTTTTAAAAAGTTTGATATTTAAAAATGTAAGGCATTTTTAGTCTTTTGAGGTGTAATCATTGCTTTTTTTAAAAAATGCCCTTATCAATGATGACTTTATATTTATTATAAAGTATTTAATAAGAGTGAATATAGAAAGATAGAATTAGTTAAAAAATAGATAATTACTTTATTGGGATGACATTCAG